TATTATACATATGTGCATGTAATGTGTGTATGTATGTGTTTATGTAATATATGTTTGTGTGTGTGTGTGTATGTAATGTATGTATATGTGTGTGTAATGTATGTATATGTATGTGTGTATATATAATGTATGTTCGTATGTGTTTTCATATGTATTTTTGTATGTGTGTCTACTAGTTCGCCTATTTTCGATGGTATAACGCGTTCTCGAAAGTTTTCAAACAAACTGAAAAAAAACTTCGGTTTTTTTAAAAAAAATGTTAGCTTTTTCAGACTTGGTCCAGTGGCAATGCCGCATTTTAACGGTTTTATTGATCTTGTTGATGAATTTGATCAGGATGTGGCAAAAAGCAACGAGGAGGCATTCAGAGAAATTATCCGAAAAGAACTGTTGCAGTTCGAGCGGAGCACTGAACGAGGTTATCATTTTTTATGTATGTATGTATTTGTGTATGTATGTATGTATGTGTGTGTATGTGTGTATGTATGTAGGTATGTATGTATGTGTGCATGTATGTATTCATGTATTTATATATGTATATATATGCGCATTTAGTAATCCCCGACCTTGAACTACTGGAATTGAGTACTAACCTTCCGTCTTATTCGGTACTGAGCGATTCTTGAAGAATTTCGGCCGGCATTTTGACAATTTGTCCTTCATTCGTTGCTAAAAAAATGCCAGATAGTCAATATTACCATCAGATTGCTTCTATGCAAATCGGTAACAGTAACTGGACAAAAGCCTTCCAGTCACTGGTCGATCTTACTCTTTCAGTGCCTCGGCCATTCATAGCGAGTAGAAAAATAGATGAGATTTTATGTCTTTTGGATTTAAATTTTTCATAAAATTTATAGCAATTTTTTGTAATTTTTTAAATAATTGCTGTTGTTTCATTTAGAACTCCGAATGGCTCCAATGTCAGCTGAGGAAAGAAAGATCGTCCGTAACGAAGCATTGAACTGCGGCTTAAATTCACGTTCCACTGGGTAATTTTCGTTTTTTTTTTCTGCAGATTTTTAGAATTTGAAGAAATTCGGATAGCTGTTACAGCGTTGCTTTACTGTTTTTGAAAGCCGAGGGTTCGATTTTGGTACTGAGACATTCAGTTTCTCTCGCTACGACTTGTTCACAGTTTTGATTATAAATTGGTACTCACACATGTCGAGGAATCGCTCTGCCTGAGTCGCCTGAATCTAAATAACTCTCAAAAGAGCTCTCAGCTTTATCTAAACATCAGCTTCTTAAATATGGGATCTTTACCTAAGCATCAGCTTCACAAATACGGAAGCTTTGAGCAAACGAAAAACCCGTTATCAGTGGAACAATCGA